TCGGTCAGTATATAATTTATAATTTGTGAATGTCAAATGTTTTCTTATTTTCTGCTGATGGCCGAAGAATAAACGAATATATATATGTATGTATGTTTGTATGCATATATGTTTGTATGCATGGATGTATGTATGTATGCATGTATGTATGTATGTTTGTATGCATGTATGTTTGTATGTATGTATGTTTGTATGCATGTATGTATGTATGTTTGTATGCATGTATGTTTGTATGCATGGATGCATGTATGTATGTATGCATGTATGTATGTATGTTTGTATGCATGTATGTTTGTATGCATGTATGTATGTATGTTTGTATGCATGTATGTTTGTATGCATGGATGTATGTATGTTTGTATGCATATATGTTTGTATGCATGTATGTATGTATGCATGTATGTATGTATGCATGTATGTATATACAGTGCCTTGCGAAAGTATTCGGCCCCCTTGAACCTTTCAACATTTCGCCACATTTTAGTCTTCAAACATAAAGATATAAAATTTTATTTTTTTTGTCATGAATAAACAAGTGGGACACAATCGTGAAGTGGAACAAAATTTATTGGATAATTTAAACTTTTTTAACAAATAAAAAACTGAAAAGTGGGGCGTGCAATATTATTCGGCCCCTTTACTTTCAGTGCAGCAAACTCAGTCCAGAAGTTCAGTGAGGATCTTTGAATGATCCAATGTTGTCCTAAATGACTGATGATGATAAATAGAATGCACCTGTGTGTAATCAAGTCTCCGTATAAATGCACCTGCTCTTTGATAGTCTCAGGGTTCTGTTTAAAGCGCAGAGAGAACCATGAAGACAAAGGAACACACCAGGCAGGTCCGAGATACTGTTGTGGAGAAGTTTAAAGCCGGATTTGGATACAAAAAGATTTCCCAAGCTTTAAACATCTCAAGGAGCACTGTGCAAGCAATTATATTGAAATGGAAGGAGTATCAGACCACTGCAAATCTACCAAGACCCGGCCGTCCCTGCAACCTTTCATCTCAAACAAGGTGAAGACTGATCAGAGATGCAGACAAGAGGCCCATGATCGCTCTGGATGAACTACAGATAACTACAGTTGAGGTGGGAGAGTCTGTACATAGGACAACAATCAGTCGTGCACTGCTCAAATCTGGCCTTTATGGAAGAGTGGCAAGAAGAAAGCCATTTCTCAAAGATATCCATAAAAAGTCTCTTAAAGTTTGCCACAAGCCACCTGGGAGACACACCAAACATGTGGAAGAAGTTTTTGGCCACAATGTTTTTTTTTTGTTTTTGGCCACAATGCAAAGCGATATGTTTGGCGTAAAAGCAACACAGCTCATCACCCTGAACACACCATCCCAACCTTAGCTGTAGTTTTTGCAGTGTTTAGATTTTCAGTGGTCTGATACTCCTTCCATTTCAATATAATTGCTTGCACAGTGCTCCTTCAGATGTTTAACGCTTGGGAAATCCTTTTGTATCCAAATCCGGCTTTAAACTTCTCCACAACAGTATCTCGGACCTACCTGGTGTGTTCCTTTGTCTTCATGGTTCTCTCTGCGCTTTAAACAGAACCCTGAGACTATCAAAGAGCAGGTGCATTTATACGGAGACTTGATTACACACATGTGCATTCTATTTATCATCATCAGTCATTTAGGACAACTTTGGATCATTCAAAGATCCTCACTGAACTGGACTGAGTTTGCTGCACTGAAAGTAAAGGGGCCGAATAATATTGCACGCCCCACTTTTCAGTTTTTTATTTGTTAAAAAAGTTTTAATTATCCAATAAATGTTGTTCCACTTCACGATTGTGTCCCACTTGTTGTTGATTCATGACAAAAAATTAAAATTTTATATCTTTATATTTGAAGCCTGAAATGTGGCGAAATGTTGAAAGGTTCAAGGGGGCCGAATACTTTCGCAAGGCACTGTAGTTTATCACCACGGTGTATGGAGAGAATGAATAATGCTGTGGTGTGTCTTTTAATAAAAGACATACAGACATACAATAGTAAATGATTGATTTGAATGATGCCGTAAAAACTGTCACTGTGTCTTCAGGCAAGACACTTGTGTGAGTGTAAAGTGTTGTTGAGAAAACCGATGCATTATTATTACGTTTCCCTAAGACTGCTTGGAGTTACTCGACTTGAGATATACAATATAATTTGAATGTGATTTTCTCTTTATGAATTCATCTTTGAACAGACTTGACTTTCAAAAATCAAATCAGAACTGAGGCTACGAACAAAACACAGTCTCGATCCACCTCTGGAAATAAGTGTAATATCAAATAAATAGATAAATAGGAAATGTTGCTTTCTTATTGTAATCTTCTGCTTCCATTTGAGAGACTAGAGTCCAGACCTTCTCAAAACCTGTGTCTGAAGTGTGTTTTTTTTTGCAGTGCGTCTGTTTTTGGTCTGAAGACTCTGGAGGCTCCTCACATCTGCAAGCTGAAACCTGCCGGACTGGTTCACGTACATGTGAGTGCGCACGAGGCCAGGACCCAGGCCTCTGTGTTGATACTTGTTGCTGCTCAGAGTCAGGCCGGGAGTGCTCAGAGCGGAGGCCAAACTTCCAGGTCCAGACCCAAGATTATTGTGGATAAAAGCACGTGACACTTTACAACTCTTCTCTGTCCTTGTTTGTGTGACATCACAGTGTTTGTAAAACTGTTGATACAGCTTAGTTGACTTGTTTTTTTTGCACTGATCTGCACTTTCCATTTTAAAACGATGAAACAGGCCGACGTACATACACAAGTCACAGGTTTTATTTTGAACACACACATCCATTGCAGATCCAATGGCATCACATCCTGTAACAGACAGAAAAACAGAACCTAGTGCCGACCACCTGCCCACAGTCAACCTGCTCCTTTTGGAATCATTCAAAAGCACTTTCTGAGCACTTTGCAGGTGCAGCACCTGACTCTGTTATCAGTGACCTGGTGTTACATTATGTAGTAATCATATACTGTAAGAAACACTCAGACGGGTTGACAACAACTTTCCTTGTTTCGAGAGGTTAAGCTTGGACTAATGCAGGAGGCGGCTGAAATCACGCTAAGGAACATCTGGATCAAACCAACAGAGCAACCAGGAATTACGAGTATACATCGATGCAAAAGTCTCCCCTATAACAATCAAGCATTGATCAAATACCAACATCAATGTCCACAATTTGCTACTGCTCGCTCCCATCACGAACCCTACATCACATACAGGGAATCCCCATCAAAATGACTTTTGACGATATACAAAATTGGCTTATTAAAACAATCACTTAGTTTATAAAAGTAAAAAGAGCATACAGTATGTTTGGTCAGGAAACCATGAGCACAACGTACAAAAATCTCGTCAATCAACAATATTGGGATAAAACTCAACTGCAAAACACTGAAGCCTTCAAATATCCGGGCTATGGCTTGATCCCAAACTCTCTTTTCAACCCACCATAGATCATATACAAAATCAAACTTATCTCTTCTTGCCGCCCAAGCTTCACAGGTCAAGTAGTGTTTCAATCACACTCGACATCAACAAAGAATAGTCCACAACTTGTGCTGCCAATAAATGAACTACGCGTGACATAGCTCTATCCAACAACTCACTGATGCTGTTCTTAAGGCCCTTGACCCCCACTCTGACAAACTCACTCTGGCAGATTCATACTCCGATGCACTGATTTCACTCATCCATTGCACACGATATGCTTCATTGATGTTGGTTACAACCCCACAGCAATGAAGACGTTTCATTGTTTATCTTCTTGTATAAAAGTATACTACCTGAATGTACCGATATACCTAAAACAACATAGGTTCCTTTGAGAACCTCACCCTCTTTAAGAAATTTGAATTCTCCGTATCTTCAGAACTCCCCATTGTAACGTAGAGAGAGTGGGAAAGAGGCATTATCGATTTTAAAGCGGCTCATGACTGGAATTAAGCTGCCCATGGTAACTCCGATCACTAAACTCCTGCCACAATTTAAAAGCACTGATTACAAAAGATTAAACGTATCGAGTGCCTGTTTTTAACATATATATGCAATGTGTTCATTTACTGTGTTGAAAAACAACTAAGATTATAATACAACGGTTGGGGCTCTCATCTACACCAATTTCAAATCAAGTTTAAGATGACTCTGAACCCTTGATAGTGTCAGCTGTGGGGGGTGATGGGGCGCTCTGGAAGTGCGGTGCTGAATGAATGTGAATGGTTATTTGTTTGGAATTCGGTTCACTTATTTTTCTTCTATGTTTTTTTTGTAAATCATAAATGTTGTTTTTCCATGTGGTCACAGGGACCCCCTTGAAAAAGAGAATGGTTCATCTCAAGGGTTTCCTTAAGAATAAATAAAATAAAGTGAATAAACAATAGGGAAAATATTAATCTAGCGTAGTGCCCATAATCAAAACAACTATCTAATGTTATGCAAACTTTAGCAGGAGGACACGAGGCAAAAACATACCATAATAATGAGGCCTCGGGCGCCCACGGACAGAAAAAAAATATAAGAAAGAGCCAACATAGCAGCGCAGGCAAGCGCTAGTTGACTCAGCCAGTTCCTCTTTAAAACAGCACAGCAGTGTGACAACTGCGTCGAGAGTCAATTGTATGAAGGCTCCTGTAGTGAAAGCATTAATTAACGGTTTGAAGAACAAAATATGACTGTTAGGTCGCGATAAATACCTCAGCTCTCTCATTTCCCTCCCCAACGACAACACACCAGAGGCCCCACCCCGTGAATGCTCCGCTTGGATTAGGGAAGTGTTGCTATCGGCGCGAACTGCGGAACTCACGTTCGAACTCTCGCCGCGAGCGCTACACACACCAAGACCAGGGAGGCTTGTTTCTCAGAACGGCATAGATTAGAAAGAGAGATGCGGAGAAAGGACATAATGGGCCCGGGTTACGCAAGTCTTTACAGGTCAATTGGCGCAAGTCCAAGTGAAAGTCAGAGTCATTGAGGTTACAAGTCCCAAGTCGTGTGCAAGTCTTTTTATATTGGTCCAAGGCGAATCTAAAGTCATCAAAATCATGACTCGAGTCTGACGTCGAGTCCAAGTCACATGACTCGAAGTCCACACCTCTGTGTGATATATCTTCTTGTTGACTTGTGAAATTTGTCATTCTGCCAAACCATTTTGAAAACAGGGCCAGCTTCCCCTTCAATAGAACCACCGCATGTACGTTTGGTAAAGTGACAGTGTCCAGCTCGCTCCAGGATTGCTGAATAGTAAAGCAGCCTCCTGGCTGAGAGCGCAGATGGGCCTAAATAAAAACTAATGCCAAGCCTATTGACAGGAATCAATAGGGATAATGTGAGCACCTCTCACTGGGAGCATCTCCCGCTCTCTAGACTTTGTGTTTTGGGTAAAGTTTTTGTATTTGTAAATTGAGGCTTTGTGGGGGGTCAAGAGTAGTTTGGTCCCTGGTGCTATCTCAACTACAACAACCACAAAAGTATCAAGAGACAAAAGATACAGTGGTCTGTAGCTTCAACCCTGTTCACCTTTACGACATTGGCGGTTCAGGGAGATTAGAAAAGTATAAAAAATGTGTGCTGAGGGTTTTATAGCCTTAAAACAATACAGATATGATGATGGACGATACAGATTTGATGATTGAAATGAATGGATTTGTTAAATATAGGAGGGACATAACGGTCTGGAGAGTTTGAAGTTTTCTGCCAATGAAAAACTTCAAACCCTCAGAAGAAACACCTTATAAAAATGTGCCTCGTGTCTCACCAAAAAGTATTGACAATCAGAGAAACCAATTTTGTCTAGATCTATGGATCTCAAAGTGTGTACAAACGTACCACTAGTAGTACGCAGGGCTCCCTCTAGTGGTACGCCTAGCAAAAAAACCCCCGAAATAAAATAAAATTGTAAACATATTATTATTAGTTTTTTAAATTCATCAAAGGAAAGTCCCATTGAGATTAAAAACCTCTTTTTCAAGGGAGTCCATGGACAAAAAATTACAATTAAATTACAGAATTAAAACAAGTCACAAACATCCATTTCATCCATTTTCTACCCTTTAATCATAAAGAAATCCATTCTCTGGGTCAGGGGGTGGCAGTCAGCAGATGCCACAAAGTGCTCATAGCACCAGCCCTCACTGACCCTCTGCAGGGTGTGATCCACAGAGGACAGCTGGCTCTGAGTGTGAGCAAGCCTTAGATCTTTCAGTGGGGGCTTATGTGGCAAGAGTGGGGTTAATGTGTCTTACCCAAGGACACAACGCCAGCAGTCAACAGTGGGATCGTGGAGAAGGTGCAGAGGGAGGATTGAACCCACGACCTCTGGCCTTAAGCCAATGCCTCTACCAACTGAGCTACTGGTCGCCCCCAAATTCACAAACAATTTTTATAAAAAAAATTATACGGATTATAAAAAACGGTTCCAAGGAGAAGGAAGCAACAAATACAAAAGCTATATTTTTCCAGTTTCTGTGCACAAGGAACAGAGAGCACAAAAGATATAATTTGATCCAACCAGATGAACCATCATCTCTTTTGGGCTTGTCACACCCGCCAACACGGCTGAAACGCTGAAGCGGCCCCGCATCACCAGACGCGGCAGTCTCTAGTTTCAGACAGCAGAGGTCTTCAACACCAAAACGGCCTGACGCGAGCCGGAAGTACTGGGAAAGTGCCGGCCGGACTCTGAATGCTAACAGTGAATGCTAGCGGCTAGCTGCTTGTGTAAAGATCTTCTCCCTTATGCAGCTTTGCAGCGTGGTCTTTGCTCACAGACATTCCACGGGCTTATAAAACAGTAGTATTGGCGAAAGGAGGTGGCGCCATTCGTTTTTTCATAATATTAAACGGAATTTCCGCAGACGGCGAACACACTCGAAGAGCCGTTGCATAAGGTCAAGGGAGCAATGACCAAGCATCATGTTCACAAGCACAGAGTCCCCCCATTTCAACCTGGTTGAGTGCTGGTGAAGCCTGTGTTGGGTCCTGGTTTGGCTGTGTACGAGATTTTCAGCCTGCTCGCTCAGCTCCGCTAGATGTCCCGGTGACCCACTTTGCTGCTCTCTGATTGTTTCGCAACAAACTTACTAAAAAAAACATGAAAGAGAGCAGACTCCAGCTCCTGGGGTCGTCGGATTTCCGCTCCTTCTCCTCCCCTTTGACTTTCCCGCCAAGTCCCGTAGCGTCTCTACTGAACAGATCCGTTCGTGCAAACCGGCGGGATCTGTGCATTGCGTACCGGCCGAACGCGCGTCACCCATAGACTTTGCCTGTGAAACCCATGCAACGCATGAACCGGTCCTGGAAAGCCACCATTTGTGGAGTGAAAATAAGGCAGATGTAAGAGGACAGGCAGACCACGCAGGCTGTGGAAAAATGTTATAATATGTAACGCCATTCTTTCACTCAATTCCAATCCACACAACCTATACGTTAAAATCTATGTTAAGAATCGAAGAAGCCTCATCTCCTTAGCTGTGTTTGGTCATGTTGCTGCGCAGATGGAAAAAAAAAAAAGTGCTTGATGACAATAGAAGCCGCTTTGTTTGGGATTTAATGTCCATTCTGAAAAACTGAGTCATTTTACTTCACACCGAGGAGACAACACAATAAT